ATCCTGGCGAGGCCATGATTGTTCTCTTCATATTCGAAACGTGAATCTTTTGGAAAGTTTTGAAATATTCATTTTCAACGTTATACATTTATTTGAACAGTTACATTTTTTTCTGATATCGACATTTTTGTTTAATTTCTAGAATCTTTCTTACCGAATAGTGAAGAGCTGAGTGAATTAAGTGCTCTCCATTTGCAGTTATCACAATTGAAGCAAACTAAAATCTACTAAAACTTGAAAAACAAAATCGGTTTCTTTAACTTAACCATTGGCATTGACTCCCCTTTATATACCCGCCTTCTTTGAAAAACAAAATAAGACTGTTTGGCGTAGGTCCTGTCTGGACCATTTTTTAATACAAAGGAGACGGGAATGGTACTCTACATATTTAATCATTTTCGAGGAACTTGATTCATGATATTGTTAGTTAAAGTGCAAGGATGACATCATTCTAAATCCAAGCAAAAACATGAACACGGCCTTGACGCCTGCACATGACTCACAATGCCCCGAATGGATGGCCCATTGTCACCGCATTAAGACCACCCGAGTACCCATGAATAGCGGTCTAGTACAAGGCCACTAAAGCAACATTCGGCATTTGTGATTTCATTCGTGGAACTTTGGAAAGAGAGTGGTTTGGTGTTAGGGCGCCCCCTGCGGCCACATCCTAGGCTGGAATTAATTAACACGGTGTTGTGCTCAGAGGGCGCTGTTTAAAATACACGGTATCGAACTAGTGTTCGCAAACAAAATAATATTGCCTAAAATAACTTATTACATGGAACCTTACCAAGTGAGTAAACGGTGCAGAACATGAGGAACATGTGTCCATTTTAAACCAAATTTGTTGTCATTCAAAAACACATGGAGGTAATAGGATTACCGGGAAAACTTTAATGGGGGGGGGGGGGTGGCTGGGGTGGAGGCGGGGTGGAGGGGTGGAATTTCCTCTTGACAAACTTTCCAGGGCCGACTTTCTTTTTTAGTTATTAGCAATTTTCCCTTAAATAATAGTATTGTATTCATCCGTCCAGTTTTCTCCACATCTACTCTTTATGAAACAAATTTCCGAGACCAAAAGTGTACAAGTCTTTTCTTTCTTTTATTCAATAAAGCTAAATTGGAAGATGTCTTTTCATCGCTACAGTTTATCCCCCAAATGATGGATGATCATTAGGTTTATACATAACACAGCTGTACAATAATCTCCATACTACTATTTTCCCGTAACAAATCTTGCAAAATAAGTCTTGAGTCACCGGGAGTTTGGGAAAAATGTGTCCATAATGAACCTACATTTGCCAAAAATAACGGTTAAAGTTTTCCGGTAAGGTTCTCATTTTGGTGAAAGAATATGAGTAGGAAAAAAGGTACACGGCAACTAGAATTAAACATGAAGGATAACAAACAAATATCAGGACTCGCTTTGCAGAACTAGTCACACAATTCGTTTTCTTTTAAAAGAAAAGACAACACTGCTACTGCGAACTAAAAATCGTATACTTAATAGATAAACTCGTGAATAAATTATTTTGAAAAGCATTTACCTGACGGCTGTCATTAAGCGTTGCATTTTTTTTTTGGGGGGGGGGGGCAAGTACGAATCTTGGGTATTTTAATTAACACTTTTCGTACAAACTTTAAAACTATTTAACCTATAAAAATGTTATCGTTCAGTGTCATTAAACTCAAGAAAGTATAGCTTCGCTTTCCAAGAACATAAATTACATCAAGATATCAATAATGACAAAATTAAGTACCTATACCTGATAACATTTCCCCTAGAAATTACAAAGAGTCAGCAATTAAATTGTTAACGTTCCAGTTTGATCTAGTCTGAGTGCAATCCCGCGCGCCAGCCAATCGGAGTCGACTTTAGAACCTCATTTCGATCGGAAATGTGGACTAAGTTGTTGATTGGTCAATTTGGATGCCCTGTTTTTGTAATACAACAACGGGTTACCGACGACCCGATAGAAGGCGCCCGCTGAATGGTCAGAATCTCGAGGTCAAGACGCAGTCTTGTTTTGCGTAATTAATCACCGAATCTGCTCACATATCATAGACCCTTGCTGTGCAAGGGGATATTCCATAGACCAGTTCGATCGGGAAAATGCTTCAACTGCAATGTGATGCGACGTTGATAAACCAAAACTTCCTTTTAACGAATGTCCTTAATATGTCATCAAGTCGGAGGTACTTTTGCCGACCACTTTCCAAACAAGAGGCGCTAAAGATTTAAGCAAGTTGGAAGATTTCTCTTAACATGCATTAAAAAAAACACAATCAAGGAATGATTGAGGTAGATACACATTGATTTGGAATTATTTCTGTGATATTGATGCATATAAATTATGGATTGCAAAACATACAACGTACTTGTAAGACTAATTCCCCATTTCGTAGTATTCTTTGAAAAATCAATTTGTATTTTGTTAAGACCCACAGAATCATTTGAAAACAAATCATTAAATAATCTTACACTTATGGAGGGAAAAAGGGAAAATCAATCTTACAAGCCTCAAACTTTGTGATAATATCCACTTATCTACTGATCTGACTTATTCAAGATTCAATTTGTGGTTTTCATTGGGCTGAGATGACACCTCATAATTCAGGATTCTGTATGTCAAGCGAAATCTCAGAAAGAAACATGTCCAAATTAACATTTCACTTTCTTTTCAAACCATAGTTTTCAAATGTACATGTAGTATAACTTTTATAAAAATCCATTGCGCAAATAATTCCAAAAGCTTTAGAAAAAAAAGGCATTCCAATTCCATTTGACTCAACAAACCAAACCATTTTCGCTCTGCAACACTTACAAAAAAATTAACTCAAACTTGCAAAGAATATGTACAGATTACAGCCATAAAACGTTGTTTCTTTGAATTCCACTCAGAAATTAAATTTAAGCAAACCCTGCTTTTAAACTTACATACATGTAAGTAGAACTAAGTGATGTCCTGTTTCAAACATCAAGAGCGCCCTCTGTTGGTCATAAATTTTATAACTGAAAGGGGAGGTCAAAGGGCATGACCCTATCAAGGTCAAATCTGGTGATTGCGCATCAATCCCTTATTGTACATACAAAAGAAACCAAAAGAAACCACATGCCTTTGAAAGTGCAACGATTTTTCAAAATGGTTAAAATCTCAAACCACTGGAAAATGCCCAGTTCTTTTTCAAGATAACAAAACTATGCACGTTTCTGCATGTACAATCTGAAAACTGACAATAAACATTAAGATGAACCTTAAGTTGTGTCTTTTTGCAATAATTTACTTTTAAAGATCTGAGTGAGCATATCATTTAAAAATTCTAGAGATTTCTCTGAATATTTCTAACATTTTTTTACCCTAGTTTTCTAGACAAGTCAGAACATCAGTTTTCTAATCTCAAGAATAGAGCTACAATTTGAAAAATATGTTGTATATCTACACTTTACATCTATCCTGATAGAAGTCTAGCTTATATCCACATTAACATTCAATACTTTTTAAAGAAAGTTTTCAAGTTTAATTTATACAAAATTGTGGTATCCTACTTATAGACGATTTTTGTATCAATGAAAAAAAAAAACATCTACAGTACAAAAATAACAAAAATAAAGTTTCTATTTGAACGATAATTAAGATCAAGATTTTTGTGTTTTTTCAATACAAAATTTAGGAAGCAAATGGTTTCTGAGATCCGTGAAATTTTTTTTTCTCTTTTTTACCACGAAAAAACTGAGATTTCAGTCCCAGCTGAACACTCTCCACATTTTGCCACTACAAGTATATAAAATTCCTACGGAATATTAAGAAGCAGTGTCTGCAACTATAACTTCTCTCATTTTGTGGATCTTACAAAATGAGACCTTCGATGAAATGAACGGAACCTCCTCCAGATCTGAACACTTCGGGAACCTTTACATTTTGGAAAGCTCTATAGCCCTTTTCACACTAGAGCCTCTCAACCCGGGTTGAACTCAACCCTGGGCGAACCCAGTGCCCCCCTGGGTTGAGTTTTTGATTTTTCAACCCCCCGTTCAACCCTGCATCGTGTCACACTTGTTTCATGCAAATCAAGCTTATCATGCTCAGTTACTACTGGTTTGAACACTGGCAAAATTTTCAACCTGGGTTGAAAATCTCAACCCCGGTCTGGAGCAGGGTTGAGTTCAACCCGGGGTGAAACCAATCTCGGGGTTGACGCGGGGTTGAAATTCTTCAAGTGTGAAACGATGCATGTTTTCAACCCTGCGTCAACCCCGAGATTTGTCTGGTGTGAAAAGGGCTAGAATTATTCAAATCTGAATCACTATAAATGATTAGCTCTGTGCCAAGTGTAGACTGGCCCAGCATTTTTTTTTCGCCAAATCTCGCTTTTTCCCTCCGAATTCGGTCTATCACGCCGGAAACCAAAATCATCCAGTTGTAAACAATGGCTAAATGAATCCCCGTCATTGATCACGTGTCATTGACTTATTCGTCCCAACACACAGCAAAAAATAGAAGTTCTATTCCATGCTTAATGGAAGTTCCACTGCACAGTCACACTTTTTGGCGACTCTGGCCAATCAGATGACGAGGATTTATTCAGGTGTTGTATAAAACAAATACTGAATGTTTCAAATTTGTGCAAGGGTGAGAACAATTTCATTGGGTGACAGATGGAATGTCCCATTTTCGCCTCGTGGAATGGAACGTTCCATCTGTCACCTCATGAAATTATTCTTACCATTGCACTCATGAGCACTCATTATCTGTATCATATTGCAAGCATCGAACATCACAGGAGAGGCAAAATGTTACTCGCATGTACAGTTGAAATGTCGGCACAATTGCAGAATACCCGCCACTCACCTATCCCACCTCGTATCCGGATACGCGGATACGGAGTCACGCTTGGATGCTCAACCAAAACCACACGCGTGTGCCACCCCGTATCCCCGTATCCCCGTATCCGCGTATCCACTTCCCGGCACCTACTTTGGACTTGGACGTTTTCCCCCAAAACCACACGCGTGTGCCACTCCGTATCCCCGTATCCGCGTATCCACTTCCCGGCACCTACTTTGGATTTCCCCTGCTCCCCATTCAAATCACGTTGTCTCTGCCTAGCGCCTTCGTTATTTTCCAACATGGATATATGGATGCTTCGTTCTCATAAATAATACAGGGAAATAGCGCCCTCTTTAGACCCTCCAGCGCTCAAATCCACCCCGTATATTGTATCCGCGTATCCACTTCCCGACATCTACATGTACTTTGGACATTTCTGCAACATTTTCCGACTGCGTAGCCATTTATTTTTAGGGGGTAATTTTCGCGTGGCGGGGTATTCTGCAATTACTCCGAAATGTCTTCAGAGCATTATAAAACATATCTTTACAATGACATTTTTTAAATACATGTTCCATGTGACTACTGCAATTCTAATTTTTTTCAAAAAAAGGTCAAGGGCAAAAGGCAAGAGTATTTTTGTTCCTTGGCTTTATGAAGAATGCGTGCTTTAGATTTAAGATCGGGAAATAAAACCATTCAATTTGGATTTCAAGTTTTTCCACAGAATCATATTACCACAAATTATAATTATTAGAAATATTCATATTTCACAAAATATATCGAAGTGAAACTCAAATTTCTCTCACCTACTTTTTAATTCCCAGAGAAAAGACAGGTTTTATTTGGCTGAAATTGAACAGTCTGGCTGAAACACAAGAACGCTGTTCCGTGATGAGACGTTCCTAGGAAGATACACTGAATGGAAGGATCGCGAGTCTGGTGACCCTGCAGGTCGTGTCAAAGGTCAGCTCAGGTAAGGAGGGCCCTGGTGGAGTAGGGTGTGCTTTCATCGTTAAAATGTTTGCTGTTGTACCTGTGGGAAATGGACAGACATTCAAAAGGAGTGGTAATGGAGGGTGATATTCGGCTCTGGCCATTATCGGCGACCAGGCCCCACGCCGGTCTTAAACGGACTTGTTTAACATAAACATTATTTTGACATTAACCGGACCGAGGCACAGCATTTTTTTTCTCGAACCTCGATGCCAGAAGGGTTCAGGCTGTCATATGTGGGTAGCACACCCTGATATTTCCGGCCTCGCTCGCTGCGAGCGGGTCGCAGACAGATATTTCCGGCCTCGCTTGTTGCGTGTTTATCCGTCATCCGCAAAATCTTTGCATGATACACGTCATCTGACGTGAACTGGTTAATACCGGCCAAGCACACATTAATTCCCATTCAAAAATGCCTTTTCAGTCAAAAAGTCAAAACAAGTCAAAAATTATAAATTTCCAACGCGTTTGTTCAACCATTTTACTTTATGTTTTTCGAAACACCCCTCTAGCTTTGTTATGGTATGTGCCTCTTGCGAGTGGTCGTAAACACCTCCTTATATGGAGATTGGCGCGTATTGTGCATGCCTAAGTAAAAGGGTAAAAGGGACAAGACTTCACGGAAGTCCAAATTTCATGTCGCAAGAATAGTGTTATTATGCTAATTTGAATACAAGTCACCATAATCTCAACAATAGCTAGCATAATGCTTGCGCCATTGAAGGGGGCCTTCGTGATAGATTTGATAGCATGCCCGGATTGTCTCTAGTGAATATAATCAGTGTGGCTTACCTCAGTGCATTCATCAGATTTTCAAACTCATTGGGATTTTGGTCCTTCAGCACCTTAATGCAACTTTTCACCTGTTGGTTGCAAAAAACAAGTTAACAAAAGCATTGTTAATGCCAAGAAAATTTGCTGATAACTCTCGCTTTCAGACAAAAGTGTCCATGAAATTATTTTTTTTAGGAACACATTTTGTGCAACTTTCTACTCCTCTTAAATGTATGAAAACTATTTGACATCCCTGTTTGGTTAATTTTATTGAAAAGCGCACTTCTTTAAATATTTAAAATTGTCCATGCTTTTCCGGACAACTATGGGCGCTGTTGCTGTGATGTCATTTCGGGAAGACGATGTTCAGTTGCGGGGTTTTCTGTTCAAACTGTGAACCCAAAATTTGGTCATTGACAACGTTTTGTGAAAAAACTTGGGTCATTGGTCTGCTGCCATATACTGACACAACAATGAATCACCAAAGAAAAGAATATTTACAACAGCAAAATATCAAAATTTTCGGCATATTTTTATGCTGAAATAGCTTTAACATTGAGTTGTCTGCCTGAAATGACGTCACACTTTTGCTCACGAATATGCAAATTTGCATTAGCATAAAAATGAAAAAAGGCACCAAAATGCACTTAAAAATGGCAAAAAGTAAATTGAAAATAAGATTAAATGGGACACAAAGGTGCATATACATAGACTGCATTAAAAAAAAAACAAAAAAACATGGCCCTTTAAACTTCCAATCTTAGCAACAGGCATAACGTATATCACTTAGACACGACCATGCTTCTCTCTTCCCCCTCCCCGACTCCCCCACCCCCAAAGGGAAGGAAACAAATAAGGAGAAAATACTCAAGACACTTACATCTATGCTTGATTTCTTGTCGAATGCTCCGACCGGGTGGACATGATCATACAGAATTATAAGGCCGACCATGATACGCATACAGAAAAGAGAGGTGTCTTCGTTTTGGAATCTTGAGAAGTGCTCGCTGTTTGAGGAAAGAGAAATGATTTGAAGATACAGCCAGCTTTATACATGTCTTAAACCAAAACAGGATGTACGGGTAAGGAGGAGCTCGTGGATCGAGTCCCACCAAGTAAGCTTTGTGAAAGGCTATGTGCCATTTCCCCAGTTTGTAGCTGTGAGCTCCGGTCTCAGCATTGGGTTTCTCGGGATCAGGTTTGGTCAGGTTTCAGGTTAAATGCCTAGCTTCAGAAAAAAGACATTGAGAAACACGGAGATAACAATACAGGCAAAAAGTTCAGCTGGTCGGAAACTGGTACCAAAAACAAGGAAGGTAATTTCAGTCGCCAAAAAAAAATGAAACATATGCCATGGAAGCAAGTCTTGGGGAAATCCCTCGGTGATCAAGTTTGCAAGACTTGGAATCCGATCGAAAGGGTGATATTTGATCCAAACAACAAGTAATGGAGTACAAGGAAAATTCGAGGACCAACAAAGTGTGAACAAATAAGGAAAGGACTGGTTACTCCTTGGCTAGGGGTCGGAAGCATTCCTACCTTCTTGCTATCATGAGTTTGCAGACCGAGACCATCGTGCTCAGTACGTCTGTTGTGTTCTCAAGTGGAACCTGCTTGCACTGTAAATAGGATATGAATTATTATATAAATTTGGGGTCCACTTTTTCCCTGTCCCTATAGACCATTATTATGCTGCAGCCATTAGATTTTTTCCCCATTCGAATCAATGTAATCAAAGCGACGCTGGAGGGAAAAAATAGTCTGGTTCCTTTTTGCACAAAAACATTATCATTCAGTACTGTTATTGGATACAGGGAACATGACTAAAATGGTGGAAGCATGATATAGGTCTTTTACATAGGACATCTATGATGTCAGTATTTCTGATGCACTCCTTAATGCAGTCATCCTCCAAGAGTGATTATGAATAGCAAACTACCTACCCAACAAATAACAAATTATTTGAAGTCAATCTTAATAATACTTGAATGGCAAATTATAAAGTACCAAGGTAAAAGGGACAGGAAAATGTCACACTTTGGACCCTCAATTTACAGAATGGCCCCAGAAGGAAAAAACCATCAGGTGTGATCCTCAAAATGCAAGCTGCTTAACATTTCATTGATTTTTTTATCACTGTTGCGTAGACCACTTAACATTTCAGACTGTAGATGCTAGTTAATAATTTATTAAAAGCGTGGACAAAAAAAATGTTATACACAGAAATTCACTCCTAAAACAATTTTTAGAAATATTCTGAATTAAATACCTCAGTGACGAACTTCGTAGTGGAGTCACTCAGGACTTTGAGCATGGGGCAAGCCTCGGCCAGGAACAGGGACATTCTGTTGGCCATCTCATTGTTGACGGCAAAGGTGCGGTTCTGGCCTTGGTCCTGGTAAGACAGAAGACCGACAACATTACTCGATCTTTGTTATACCTTCTATTAAAAAGAGAAATTTTAGGCAACCACATTTTTTACGTAAAAAAAAACCACCTGCATTTTCTTAACAATGATTCCACTGACACGAAGTGCAGAGTTCAAATTGTGATCACGTTGAGTGGTTGTAAGCTGTCATATGACAGTCGACTGAACTTTACTACATCTAAATTTTAGACATAAAGGTAAATATACAACATTTTCAAACATCAAAAAGCAGAACTACCAGATTATTATGAATACCTTACATATACATGACTGTAAGTGAATAATAGTCTCAAGCATCCTGTGAAATCATGGCACCTGTTGCGCTGTCATTTTCAAGAAAAGTGGAATTTTTGTATCAATATCAAATGATGGTCGGCCGACCATCGTTACAAAAAAATGACTTTTTTTTTCAAATACTGCCCCAAATTTACCAAATTTAGTTAGTCCCAATTTTGTTTGCAATCAGTTATTCATCCGTGAATGGGTGCAAGCCAGCTAGTCTGGTTCCCTGATCTGACACTTTCCCAATGTCTAAAATGCTCCATTTTGTCTGAAGTAGAGTCAGGAAACCAGACAACAAGATCAACATTTTTTTCTTGGTTTTTCCAGCATCTATGAACACAAAACAGGTCAGTGTTACAATATTTGCTGTAAAACACTTACTCCCAAATCCATACATTTCTGAAAATTACAGCAAAAGCAAACATTGTATATAATCTTTAAGACAACTTTAAAGCTTCAAATTTTGTAAAGTTACAAATTGTTTTTTGAAGGGGTAGGGGCTTACCGTGTCTTGCATCTTGATTCGACTAAGCGTCCTCCGGTAGTAACTGAAGTCATTCTGAATTGATGGATTGGTCATCTGAAACAAAACATACAAACAGTTGGAAAAAATACTGCATGTGCATCCATCAAAAGGATTTCAGTTGGACTATCACTCATTTGTTAATGAGAGAAAAAGAATGTTCTCTAGTGCTGTATTAACAGGATGACTTACTTTACATTTAAAGAAAAAGTAAATTCTTAACTAACAAATCTTGAGATCGCATTCCTCGAAATACAAATACAAGACTGGCAGTTTTCGAACCTTCAAACCGTAACATGGTTTTGTTTTCAAATGGCCAAGCACATTAACTTGGTAAGCCTACGCACATGATCGTGATGACTCAATATACCTACTTAACAAGGTAAGACATTGTGGATTCGTGGTGCCAGACAGAGTTAGCCTGAGGCAAGGCCAAGCAAAGGCAACAGTCTGGTGCCAGGATGGTCTGGGCCCAAGGCAGAAAAGCTGGCTGTTCCTTCATAATGTAGGAACTGCCTGCAGGAACTCCAGACTGTACACAGTAAGTAAAGTAAAAGTCAAGTCTGTCACGAGGCAATCTGGCCCATCAGGCGCGGCGTTCATCTCTGGTTTCAGTAGCATGAAACGACCGAGAAAATTTCTATCCCCCTGGATGGGATGCCAGTCCATCGCAGGTTACTCCCCAGCTAATGCTGGTACCCATTTACACTCCTGGGTGGAGAGAGGCAAATGTGGGTGAAGTGGCTTGCCCAAGGACACAACATATTGCCAGCAGCTGATAAATAGGCCTGAAATTGCCCACGTCGGCCAAATCACAATTTGCATGCCCTCTATTTTTGCCATAAGAACATTTTGTGGGACATGAACTTGAGGGTTTTTAAAACAGAAGGGTACATGGAAACCGTGAACAGGAATTTGCATTTGTAATTTCTGTGAAATTCGGATGAAATAGGAGTGCAGGCATCATTTATTAAAATGGCGATGGGCTTCAGGACTACTTTTAGGGGTGATCATCTTATGATGGACTTGTGATGGACTTATGACTGGACTAGAGACGCACTTGTGATTTGTCACAAGTGCTTCGACTATAACCCTTGATCACATTTGTTCCTGCCTTGGCTTTGAAGTCTCTCTACCCACCTTAAGATCATCAAACTTGAGAGTGAAGTGGAGTATCTTAGCAAACTGTTTCGCCAGTGCTTGGTGACTGTCAAGGTGTTCGGCAGGTTTCATGTCCACGTCGGTGCATAACTCTTGCAGTAACGGCCGCAAAGCCTTCTCTGAAAATGCAGAAAAAAAAACCAGAAATATTTCACTTGTGCTCTATTGACCCATTCACTGTTGTGCTTTTCAAAATCGACACTACTTTGACACAGTTTTAGAAGTCGAGAATACATGCGATAAATTCTCTGATCAATGTCTGATTGTGCAGCAGGAGAAGTCGCTTGATGGCGTCTACACCAGGATGCTGCGCATGGCTCTAGACGTCACCTGGGAAGACCACATCCGTAACATCGACCTGTATGGAGGCCTTCCACGTATCTTGGTCAAGAAAGGAGGATGGGTCTGGTGGGCCACTGCCGCCCCCCCCCCCCCCACCTCGAGCTGGTAGCCACGACACTATCCTGTGGGAGCCAACTCAGGAACTGGCAGGAGGGGGGGGGGGGGGAAGGTGAGCCACGTACATGGGATGTTGGTCTTAGTGACACGGGGGAGATGAGGACCCTAATGTTGGATAGGGAAGAGTGGAGGGGGGCGACCAAGTCCCGAGATGGTGTACGATAGCCTGCGCTTTTTGCATCGCATTATATCATATTCATGTCCTGTCAACTTAGCAGTTGAGAGTACGGATATCAGCACATTTGGCAAAAGCTTTGGGTCTAATGAGTCCCACCTTACCAATCATGTTAAGGTTTTTAACAGTGAAGTAATGATGCGTTTGATGACAAGGCTATCTTATACAACAGCCATGAGTTAGCATGAAGGTAACCGTCTTGCGGCTGGACTTACCAATTTTCTGTGAGTATTCAAAGTATCTCTTGAGCCGTGCTACCAAGGGACAAACGTCAGCCCATGCCTTCTGTTGCAACTCCTCATTCCTGGGGTTACAAATGGCCTGAAAAAATAGAAGTGAAAAGACGCGAGTAATGTTAGTCCAGGATTTGCAACACAGTGCATTTTCTGCACCACTGTTCTACCCTATCGACGAATCTGGGCAGATGATCACAGTACACACATGAGGCCCCCTTCAATGGCGATAGCTGTACACCAGCTACCACAATGCTTTCGCCATTGAAGGGGGCCTTCGTGATAGCCTGCCTGGATTATTCTATATTGAGCCAACTGGCCTTGTCAGAATAATAATAATAATTTGGGAGGCTAATCATCCTTACTCGCAGCTGGTATGCTGAATTGCGAAGGACGCGGCTACAACGTGGTCGGGCCGCTGGCATGTAAAGGCGCCTAAGGCTGCCAGCCACATCGACCCATTATGACCACGGAGCACAGCCTGAGTTCGAAAGTGTTTGATTTTTCCAGAGGGAGGAAAACTGGAGGGCCCAGAGAAAAACCCTTGTGGCACAGGAGAGAACCAACGCACAACTCTACTCACATGTGATCCGCGGCCAGGATTTGAACCGTGGTCACCTTGGTGAGAGGCGAGCGCTTTACGCACAAGCCACCCATGCCACCCAAATGCTAACCATGCCACCCAAATGCTAAGCAATTCTTGAAACTTTTCACAGACAAATTAACACTAACCCTTCTCAATCCTCCAAATTGAAGGATATTGGAGGATTGAGATTGTATGCCATTTTGTGCAAGTTGATTTTGGCAGGCTATGCATTTTGTCCAATTGGGGAGTGTGGCCTAGTGGTTAGGGTTCGTGACTCAAGATCAGAGGGTCAGGGGTTCGAATCCAGCTGCTGGTCATGTATTGCATCCATGGGCAAGCCATTTCACCCCCACTTGCCTCTCTCCACCCAGGAGTACAAATGGGTACCGGCATTAGCTGGGGAGTAACCTGCGATGGACTGGCATCCATCCAGGGGGAGTAGAAGTATTCTCAGTCTTTTCATGCTAATGAAACCGGAGTTAAATGCCGGCCTGATGGGCCACATTGGCTCGTGACACACTTTACTACTATTGTGTTAAGGTCTTAAGCTGCACCTTGTGTTGTTTATGCTTAGCCATGCATAAATTATGCCGAGATTATAAATATTAGATACCATCCTCACTGCTTCTGGATATCATCGCCAATTCCTCATTGTGTTACAATGATTGTTGGAGGATTTTTGAAGGATTGAGGCAGTGGTCTACCTCCACTAAATAAATTCGAGAAACACCCAATGATTTGGGAGGATTGAGGATGGTTCCTAGCCAAAAAGGGCCTAGGCGATTAGTGTTAAAGCTTTGTTGCCCCTCGCTATAGCAGGTAACTGTACAGATGACAAAGCAGGCATGGCACACCACTTACATGTGGGTGGTCTGCACATACTTAGTGCTCCTTTGACTAATAGAGGTTTTCAAATTACGCGCGCCCCTCAAACAAAGGTTATGCACCCATGTGAAATGAGCACGAGCATGGCACCACCTCAGCTGATTGGGACACGGCTTAAACTTACCGCTCTAATCGATTCTCCCGCCCCTCCGTAATGCTGTAAGTCTTTCAATATCTCATCTGCCTCCCGTAAGACATCCTCCGCCATGTTGTAAAGCTCCTCCTCATTTTCCTTGGGTTCTGCTTCTGTAAACCAAGACACACCACAAAAAGGTTTTTTTTACTAGAAAGGTATCAAACTCTGACCTCAGGAACACGGTACAGAGAGAACTAAAACTAACAAAACTATACCAAAGATTTCAAATGCGTGACCTCAATTGTACCAAATTTGTCCAATGTGTGACTCACTTTCAAAGTCAATAAAGATCTGTGGGTCGTCATCCTGTGGACCTCGAAGTTTTAACAACAGGTTGCCCATGGCAACGCACTATCTGTAAAGAATCAAAACGATAAATGATTTAGAAAATCTGGTCGTAAGTTAAGGGGGTCGTGGGTCGAGGGGGTCGTGGGTCCGGGGGCTGTGGGTCGAGGGGGTTGTGGGTTGAGGGAGTCGTGGGTTGAGGGAGTCGTGGGTCGAGGTGGTCATGGGTCAAGGTGGTCGTGGGTCAAGGGAGTTGTGGGTCGAGGGGGTTGTGGGTCGAGGGGGTTGTGGGTCGAGGGGGTCATGGGTCGAGGGGGTCGTGGGTCGAGGTGGTCGTGGGTCGAGGGGGTTGTGGGTCGAGGGGGTCGTGGGTCGAGGTGGTCGTGGGTCGAGGGAGACGTGGGTCGAGGTGGTCATGGGTCGAGGGGGTCGTGGGTCGAGGTGGTCGTGGGCCGAGTGGGTCGTTCGGGTCGAGGGAGCCGGTTGATTTTTACTGTTTGTTTTGTATCTGTTTACTTTAATGCCATACATGTGTACATGTTTTCCTAGCCCTATTCCCCCCAACCCGTCACTATCCCTGAGCTCTATTATTAGTTATTATTCTGCAATTCCGCTGCTGGCGGCGATAGAATAGAATAGAACACCCTGCTGAATATGTGGCATGTATCCGTAGCTACACAACTGTACTGACCTCTTCAAAAGGAGAGGTCATACAGTTCACAACACTCAGAAGTATTCACTGAAAAATCAATCTCTTGACTTCAGAGTACATTGTCCTTTTCTGGGAAGGGGTACATTGTACATGTACACAGTGTTCTAGCCAGGCATCAAATAGCGCTAGCACCCGCTACGCTTTCGGAAATAAGCGCTACGCTTAAATCGCGCCGCTACGCTACCGCTACGCTATAAATTTTGGTTGCGAAAAAAAAAATATCTGCCGTTTGTTCGTATACAAGCGCAGCGACTTTGAGCATTGCGCACTGGCCATACGACACAGCGAAAAATAAACAACGATCCCACCGCACGTACCCCGTACGATACCCCTACCGTGATGCTGCGCCACACGCATTCGCTATATGATAGCAATAAGCACGTGCTGTTTTGTGCTGCGTAGATACAGCGCTCCGTACGGACGTACGTGGACCACACCATTTTGCGCTATCGGGTGTGCTTTCCTAAGGTCAATATTTACAAGCATTTCAGCTGTTTTAAAATTATAAATAATACTTTTTATCAAGTCCGAAACATATAACTGTTTGAAAATAAGTCCTCCAACGTCAGAACATAATTTTCGTAAAGGATTTATTCGAGAAACGATGTCCAAAGAAAGGTTAAGCACCCCTACGATATCAATGGATCCGTCCCCAAAGATGGCCGCACGTGAAGAATTGTTCTCGAAGAATGTCGCTGTCGAAAATTTGGATTTTTGACTACACACTAGTACACTACTCGTTGCTGATAATAACAGTTCAATAAGTTTGGTAGTAAAAACGGATCTGTTTGTTATTAGGACAAAACCAATCAGCAAGTATTGCAACAAAACAAGTTTTTTAGCGCTCCACGAATGCGTAGCTTTCTCAAATGCTGAGGGAAATTTGGTCGCGTAGTTCGCCGGCGTAGCCGATGTGGGCTGGCCCGCGCCGCGCCCGCACGCCGGGCCGGCCGGGGCCGGCCGCGGCCGGGATAGGAAGCAATTCCCGGTGATTATTTCTCATCGTCATTATCTACAATTATATTTTTTAACATTATAACAAAAATGAGATTTCTCCTTCACATTGTGTTGTAGCATATTGAAATTGCAATCGCCGACAACTTTTTATGTCTGAGACCTCCATGGTTTTACAATTTCTCTCCCTGCCGATCGGATGGTTTTATTTACAAATTTAAAATCGGAACTACTGCTACTACGGCAGCGCTACACAACACAAGGCTTCTTGAAATATGAAATGTTCATGCGATTTGTTCTCACACTTAATATTGACAAAGTAAATCCCAATTTTTAATAAAATATTGAGGAACTACTAAAAATGGTTAAACATCAGAAAGCATCGATCTTGGAACAACTTATACATTGTAAACGTAATCTAAAATTTGAAAACAGAAGAAACTTTACAATTACTGGAGCAAGAGTATTAATCATTGAAACAAATAAAACAAAATTTCTTATAATTTTAAACACTTCTGCTAAAAAAAAATCAGGGGAAAGTGGCAGGGAATCGCCTCAGATTGCACCACAGAGCATCTAGAGTCCAAAATTTTCCGGGGCCCTTAAGCGGGCCCTGGACCCCACGCCGTAAGGGCTCCGCGCTCCGCGCTCGCATTAGTCGCCGACCCAAAATTACCCCTACGCTATAATTTCACCCTGGCTAGAACACTGTGTACAGGTACGTAATTTTCGGAAGTACATGTACTTTTGATACACTTGTACATGTTTATAACTGGCAGCTTCAAGCACGGAACTTAAAGTTACTAAAGTGACAATAGGGCTCATTCAGTGACGGCCATCTCTGTGGGAGAACTGCAATTGCGTATTTTACACAATCGAGCACGCATTGCACAGTGTTGAAAATGTTTCAAACACGCGCCGTTGTTGCTCGAAATGTGTTCGAAATACGACGCAGCCGATGCGCATTATGCAAGTTGATGCTCAAAATGCCGATGGGCAGTTCCACGGTTACTCACGTTACATCTGTGATGTACTTTTGAGTTTCCTTGGGCTGTACATGTAATTACCTTATTGAAAGGGTTTAATAAAGTTATCCCCATGGTAGATAGAGTAGACCTAGACCTACCTAAGCACCAAAGATGACATCCAGAAAAATGTGTTATGTATGATAAACAAGACGCACAAAATTGGTTACTCACATTACATTTTCGTAACATGAGTAACCTTGGAATTGCCCAGATGCACATGGATGGTCTGTAGGAAATGACATCATTTTAACAAGACCTATGGGTGTGGCTCTGTACCCGTACTTAACAAATTGCTATCAACTAATCAAGTTCATTATGTTACCATTCATTTGATAAGGAAGTACATGAAAACTGCACGTGTATGTTAATGTAAACTACATTCAATGCTAATATATAGTTTAAGTTGTAACCGCAAAATAAAACTCACAAGACTGGTGAACTTTATACATTTACACATATGCATATAATCAGTCAACAAAATATAGTTATTTCCTTCTTTAATGCAACCTTATGGCACACAGAAAACTGAAACCATACACCAAAATGTAGTGTGCACTATGATACACATATATTCCATGCACATTGTGGTTCAGGATTGTTTACAGACCATACGTTTGTACCAACACAGTGATAGAAACGGAGAAATGCCAAAGAGAAAACTGATACTGGGAAATGGCGGACCCTAGATCGATCACCGCATTGGTGACTGGTGTAGTACCAGTAGGAAAGGAAACTACACACCTAGGGTTGACAATAGTGAAATCATCATGTGTCGATAGATTTTCACCTTTTTGACAATCTCTAGGGGCCTATTTGTTGATTTATGTACTTAATCGTGTATTCTATGCTTGTATTTATCATTTTGGTATAGAAATAAATGTGAGTTTTGAATTGAAAATTGAATAGATATAAATTAAATCGTGCAATATTGGAAAAAGGCTCATAATATTTCCTTCAAATTCTAGACTTGAAGAAATTTCCCAAATAAAAATCCAGAGACGGACAACTGTAACAGTTGATGTCATGCTTTGTACGTACATGTACATACATAGTGTCTGTTTTCCCAAGGGAGACAGGCATATGGAGGAGAGCCACCAAGCTCCCACAGGAAGAAGCATGACATCATTACATGTATGTACAGGTCTGTACTTTGTATACGTGTCGGTTCTATAGACCTTTATCATGCTGCCACCATTTCAGTCATGTTCCCTGTATTCAATAACACTACTGAATGATAATGGTTTTTGTGCAAAAAGGAACCAGACTATTTTCTTTTCAGCCTCGCTTTGGTTACATTGATTTGAATGGGAAAAAAACAAGATGGCCGCAACATGATAATGGTCTATAGACTTTATTCACAAGGCGGCCATATTAAATTGAAAGTGAGGTAAAATCTTCATTTTTGGAACTTGCGAGTAGATATGGAAGTAATGAAATGAACTTAATTACAAATTAATACCAGTCTGCTCTGTGGAAAAATTTAAAAAGTTGTGATTATATGCTAATGTTTTAAGCCACATTTAAAAAAAAAAAGGAAGTTAGGCTTGGAACGCATACTGTACATGTATGTAAATAGTCTGGCACTATCCCATTCAACAGTTAATTACAAGGCCTATTTACGCATCCGTCATTTTGTCACTTAACGACTATGTCGCACATGCGCGTGTGTGAACAAACAAAATGTGTGATACGTTGTGCGATTTATGAAATCAGCGCAATAAGTCGCACGACTTTGCCGCGTAAATGTTATCGCGCTCATTGATTTGTGCGTAATTATAAAAACGTGTGACATTATTGCGCAACAAAATCGCATACAGTATGTGTAAATAAAATTCAGGAAACACGATCAAAAATGGCTTTCTCATGAATAAGGTCCGTCAATTGTCATTATTCCAATTATGGATTCTGTTTGAACTTTGTTTCGGACTAATGCATGCATTATACAAAGTACAATGTACTACATGATTACATTAAATTGTCTCCCTATTTGCCATCACTATCAAACAAGCCGGCCACAGATTCTCAATTTCACTTTCTCTCAAGAGGCGAAATTTTTAATTTCCACGCGCGTGTCATGATAAATGGTGTCTACCCTCGACCGAGTTCAAAGTCTATAACCACACAATATGCCTGCAAATATTTACTGGCTGCTTGTGCCGGCTGGAAGACGGTCAAATGACGACCGCAAGCCTTTCATCAAGTGTTTCACATAAATACAAATTCCCCATCCACTGCGCATTGCTCACACAAGGCGTTCATCATTTTCCTGTAAGATGAACTGTCATCGGCACACAGTGCAAATCATCTCGGTCCATCAGCACACACCCTCAAATATTTACCAAGCTTTCTTCGAGAGCCCAGCGACATATGTTGATT